TGCAGCTTGATTTTTCAGGCTGCTCTTTGTTAGAAAAGAAATGATTTTGGGACTGCTTTTTATTAAAAGGGAAACCTTACCAAGGACTCTCTTACCCTCATTCGCTGCCAAAATAATTTCTTTTTAGCTCCTGTATCAATACATCCTGTACTAGAGGACAATAATCAAATGAGTTTTTGGAGGAGGGAGATGGGATCGGAGTGTGCTGAGAGTACTTCACACATTAACGTATGCTGCAGTACCTCCAGGATTGGAGCATGCCCCTGGGATAAGTTAAACAAAAAGTAGAACTTAGATTCCATCAGAGGCTGGTGTATCCGTACGGGGTACCCCTTTCACTGGGCAGCACTGCCTTCCATATACCAGTGCCCATCCTGCCCGCCAGTCCCCCTCCAAGTCCTGCCCTTCCCTGGGGTCCGGCCTGGGCAGTGAGAGAGTGAAGCTGGCATTGATTAGTCTGTTGGCTCCCGGTCTGCGCTCAGATCAAGGCGGTGGGGACAATGTTTTAGGCAACACACGAAACCCTCATTCCTCCATGGGAACCAAAGGTCTCAATGTCATTTTAGAGCTGATGACACAGAAGCCCAGGGATGGAAATGGCCAATTTTGAGCTTCTCAGGACAGCCGTGGGACCTTCTGCTTTTAACCTGGGGCCAGTGCTGGCTGTCAGACCAGTCCAGCCAGATCAGGGCCTGCTTTCCAGGGGATGCAGCCTTTGTCCACCACCCTGCAGGTCCTGGAGGATGAGTGTGGCTCTAAGTTAACTGAATGTTGACAACAAAAGGTCTGCAAAATGGGCAGGTATTCCATTTATAGCAACGCCTTGGGGACCCTAAGGAGATGGCCCCCACAGATGCTGTCGGGCTTTATCGAAGCACATGGCTAAGTGAGAGAAGCTTTGAGCTCTGACCCAGTGTTTAAATCAAGGGCCAGTGGTACAACCGATAGCCCAGCACATGCCTAATGTTTTCTGAATCCTTTTTAGGGTCACTTACATTATAGAGCTGCCTCATCTACGCCTCTGCCACAACAACCCTGGGAGGGGCATCCTGACATGGAAAGAGTGAGGCTCAGGAAGACTGCATGACTTATCCAAGGTCACATGGCCTGTAGGCAACTGAACCAGTCCTTGAATTCAGAGTTGCCTGAATCAAGCTCCCACATTTTCAACATGTGACCACACTCCTCCATGCTGAGGACGTTTCTGCTTGCAAACTGGTGTTTTTCTGGAAGAACAAAGAAGGCCATACCAGACAAATCTGGCTTATAATGAAAAAACCACCTTATGCCATATGGGTAAGCCTGGGGACCAGGTGCCTGGACCTGTGAGGTGAGTGTGACTCCGGGGAGGAGAGGAGCATAGCCAGGCTGCCTCACCTACCGCCCCTAGGCAGCAGCCCCCGAGTGGATCCCCACAAACTGCAAGGACTTTTGGAATGGACTGAATTGTGTCCCCCACAAAATTCACAGGTTGAAGCCCTATCCACCAGTGTGACTGCATTAGGAAACAGGGTCTGTAAGGAGGTAATGAAGGTTAAATGAGGCCAGGCTGGGAGCAGTGGCTCATGCCTGTAATTCCAGCACTTTGGGAGGCCAAGGCGGGTGAATCACTTGAGGTCATGAGTTCGAGACCAGCCTGGCCAACCCCGTTTCTACTAAAAACCCCGTTTCTACTAAAAATACAAAAATTAGCTGGGCATGGTGGTATATGCCTGTAGTCTCAGCTACTTGGGAGGCTGAGGCAGGAGAATCACTTGAACCCAGGAGGTGGAGGTTGCAGTGAACCGAGATCGCGCCACTGCACTCCAGCCTGGGCAACAGAGTGAAACTCCATCTCACACACACACACACACGCAAATGTTTAAAAGAGGTTCTAAGGATGAGGCCTTAATTCACTGGACTGGTGTTCTTAGAAGTAGGGGAAGAGACAGCAGAGCTCACTCTCTCTCTGCAGGTGCACAGAGAAAAGTCTGCATGAGGACACAGCAAGAAGGCGGCCATGAACACACTAGGAATGTTACAGGAAAGGGGTCCCGATCCAGACCCAAAGAGAGGGTTCCTGGATCTTGCACAAGAAAGATCTGTGGATCAAGGCAAGTCCATAGAGTAAAGTGAAAGCAAGTTTATTAGGAAAGTGAAGGAATAAAGAATGCCTATGCCATAGGCAGAGCAGCCCCGAGGGCTGCTGGTTGCCCATTTTTATGGTTATTTCTTCAAGATGTGCTAAACAAGGGGTGGATTATTCATGCCACCCCTTTTTAGACCATGTAGGGTAACTTCCTGATGTTGCCATGGCATTTGTAAACTGTCAGGGTGCCTGTGGGAGTGTAGCAGTGAGGACGACCAGAGGTCACTCTCGTGGCCATCTTGGTTTTGGTGGGATTTAGCTGACTTCTTCACTGCAACCTGTTTTATCAGCAAGGTCTTTATAACCTGTATCTTGTGCCAACCTCCTGTCACATCCTGTGACTTAGAATGCCTTCACTGTCGGGGAATGCAGCCCAGTAGGTCTCTGCCTCATTTTGCCCAGCTCCTACTCAAGATGGAGTTGCTCTGGTTCACACGCCTATGACAAAACTGCAAGGACTTTTGGAATGGACTGAATTGTGTCCCCTGCCAAATTCATAGGTTGAAGCCCTACCCCACAATGTGACAGTATTTGGAAATAGGTGCTATAAAAAGGTAATCAAGGTTAAGTGAGGCCCTAAAAATGAGGCCTTAATCCACTGAATTATCCTTAGAAGAAGAGAAAGAAGTCAGGAGTGATGGCTCATGCCTGTAATCCCAGCACTTTGGGAGGCTGAGGTGGGCAGATCATGAGATCAGGAGATGGAGACTATCCTGGCTAATATGGTGAAACCCTGTCTCTACTAAAACTACAAAAATTAGCTGGGCATGGTGGTGCGTGCCTGTAGTCCCAGCTACTTGGGAGGCTGAGGCAGGAGAATTGCTTGAACCCGGGAGGCAGAGGTTGCAGTGAACTGAGATTGCGCCACTACACTCCAGCCAGGTGACAGAGTAAGACTCCATCTCAAAAAAAAAAAAAGGGAAAGAGACACTGGAGCGCTCTCTCTCTCTCTCTCTGCAGGTGCACAGAGAAAAGGCTGCATGAGGACACAGCAAGAAGGCAGCTGTGTACACACCAGGAAGAGAGGCCTCACCTGAAACCAACACTGAGGGCACCTACAGGGCCCATAGACCTGTAAAAAGATCAATGTCTGTTTAAGCCACCCAATTTGTGGTATTTTGTTGTGCTATCTGAGCATATTAATACAGTGTGGTTTTTTTTTTTTTTTTTCCAGAGATCCTCAAAGCTCGCATTCCAACATAACACAGGAGTGAAAGCACAGGCTTTGAAGTCAGGAAGGACTAAGATCTCAACCTGCTTCCCATTCAGCAGGACCTTGGCTTTCATCTCTAGGATCCTGTTTCATAAGATTGATATGAAAATTAATTGAAGCAATGCATAGGAAATACTTGTCATGGTATGTGGAACATGTGAGGATATTACTATTATCCTTATTGTAATTGCCTTTGCAAAAAATTTTATCAGTGAGAAAATTATGGCTTTGTGTGAGATCTGATCTGGCAATCCCCCTTTTGCCTTTAGCCTTCAACTGCCCTTAATTATTCCTGGACTTAGGCTAAGCTAACTTTGGGAAACATTTAGTTTATAGTTTAAATGATAATAGCCTTTCCACCAAATTCAACCACCTTTGTAAAGCTAATGAGAGACTACCAGGCTAGGAGGATAGAGGAACCTGAATTTGGCTAAGGTGGAGACATAAACAATTGCCAGCCATTATTCCGGAGGTCACAAGATATGCAGCTTCCCCAATGATTCCTGCAGATAACATCACTACTGTAGAAGGTTAAGATTGGTCTTTTGAGATGTCTTTTCAGGTTTTCTGCATGTCTCACACTGATAATGGCTCCACCTGGATCCCCAAGGGCTCCTGTGGTCCTACCTAGAAGCGACTCAGCTCAGGAGGACCATTTCCCACACCCCTCTGATGGCACCCCCAACCAATTAGCAGTAAGCACGCATTGCCTAGGCACCCCCACCCCTTTCCGCAAACTACCTTTGAAAAACCCTAGCCCCCGAATTCTTGGGGAGACTGATTTGAGTAATAATAAGAGTCCAGTCTCCTGTTCAGCTGTCTCTGTGTGAATTAAACTCTTTCTCCATTGCAATTCCCCTGCCTTAATAAATAGGCTCTATCTGGGCAGCAGGCAAGAAGAGTCCATTGGGTAGTTACATTATGAGGTTCTCTTTACTCTGATGGAGCTGGCAGATGGTACTTGGGTTCAACTGCTCTGAGTTTTTCTAGCTGTGGTCCATTGTTCCAAAGCACACATCCTGACTCTAGGGTGTCACTGGGGTCTGGTACAGGTAGTTAGGCATGAGCAGGGCGGGAGAGGGCTCTCCCCTACCCACCAGGAATGTCAGGTGATGGTCTCAGGTGATGGTGTGACAATGATCACGCTGCCGTTCTAAAAGTGATTATTCGGCACCCTACGCCAGGGAGAGACAATCTCCTGAAGAGCCACAGCTGTTAACGTTAAAGTGTTAATTTAATGCAGGTGCCAGGGAGAAGCAAAAATGGCTTCCAGTAAAGTCTCAGTTATTGGGCTAGTGAGCTCAGGCATGCGCGTTAAGCCACAAAATGGTGGAATATGACTTTCCGGGGGCCTCCACCGGAAAAGGGAGCATGCCGCCTACAACTTCCTAAACCCACTGTGCGTGCTCAGTTCCCAGGCGTCAGGACTGCTCTCTGCATGTGGGCATCCCACCCTAAGGGAAGAATTATGGGAAAGGGCTGCAAGATGCCAGAGGTGGGCCAGGCTATAAAGTCCAAGGATCAAATTTAAATGCCGCACTTGTTCTTCAGGTTGCCAGCTTGAGACGCTTCCAAGCAAGTGTACTTTCCTTTCTTTCCTGCTCTCTCTTGCTCTGAAACTTGCCTGGGTCTCTTTTTCTGCCTTGTGCCCCTCAGTCGAATTCTTTCTTCTGAGGAGGCAAGAACTGAGGTTGGTGCAGACCTGTATGGATTCACTGCCAGTAACTCGGACACCTTCCACCAGTAACAGGGTGAGTCCACGGGGGTTCGTGTCCTATTTTTAGCATATAACAAGTTTGTGAAGTGTCACCCATCAGCCTGCAACGATGCTACACAGGCTAACCAACACATCATGTTCCTTTGCTTTTGGCTGGAATTAAACAGTGTCACCATGGAAACACTGCTTATCTCTAATGACCAGAAGCTGAGATCAATGGATATTCATGTCCTTGATTTATAAGAATATTGGAGCATAAAATACCTATTATCTTATCATAGATCCTACAGGACCCATGAGGAGAAAAGAAAGAAAAGCAGTCCTATGTAAACCAAAAATAAAACTCAAAGCTTCCCCCTCCCCACTTCAAGTTTCCCACCCGGATTGAACCAATGTCAATCTTACTTGTATTGATTGATGTATTGTGTCTCCCCAAAACGTATAAAAGCAAGCTGTACCCCGATCCCCCTGGGCACATGTCAGGCCCTCTTGAGGCTGTGTTACGGGCATGTCCTTAACCTTTGGCAAAATCAACTTTCTCAATTGACTGAGACCCGTCTCAGATATTCTGGGTTCACACCAAGTAGGTGAAAAGGTCAGGCACCCTGGCTGAAATTGCTGCACTAGTTTTGGGTATTTTTCTCCCAGAAATTTTATAGCAATTATGCACTATAATGTTCAAGACCTGCTTGCTTTTTAATTATCTATGGCTTAAGCATGTACTATTCTTCTGCTACTCTGCTCTGATTTGCCTAAAACCAAGGCATGTAGAGAAGCTGTGAAGGCGTTCCTCACCTGCCATCGCGTGTCTGTGCATCGGCTCCACACCTGGTGAGTATGTGGTCCTCATGCTGCTGGGTGGCAGTGCAGGAGGTGTCTTTAGTGACATGTTGTTGTGTTGCCTTTTATGTGCAGGGCATAATTGATGAACCGGATTTGTCACATTCAATAGCCCCAGGAAAAGCTTTGTCCTGGATGCCTGCAGGGCTCCATGTCACAGGGAGGAGAGGAGCCATTTCTACCCTGTCTCTCTGATACTTCGGCATCCAGGGTCTCACTGACCTTGGGGCCAATTCCTGAGGATAGTAAACAACTCACCCAGGATGTGCCTTTCTTATTCAAAGGAACTCATCCAGCACCCGCACCCCCAACCACCTCTTTCATTGGTCCTCACACTCCAGGCCACCATTCACTGCCCTTATCATCTCAGAGCTGGGTGCCAGACTGCTAGGAACAGCCCCTATGCCCACGGCATGCTGAAATTATTCACTGTCCAGCTCTCAGCCTGCTGCCGCTGCCTGGCCCACACCTTCCTACGAAGGCACAATAAAGGTTCTTCTTCACACCTCACCCACCCACCCCCATGCATTGCGACCAACCTGGTGCATCCCTGTGTGGCCCTGCCTGGTGTGCCCTGTCTCCTGTGTAAACCAAAAATAAAATTAAAAGCTTCACAACCGACTAAATGGATCTCTTCCCTCAGCCAAGGAAATTCCAAAGTCAACCTGAAAAACGAGTTCAGGTCATGAAGCAGAGGTCAGCTATGCCTCTCTGTCCCCTCCTCCCTTTGAAATTCAGGCACAGCTGACCAGCATTAACATTAAAATGAGATCTTAAGACTGATAGAACAGACTCTAGCAATAAGATACCAAATTCTAACATCACTCTAGTATAGCATCACATGACACATAGCAGACCCCTAAGAGAAATCAAAGTATTTTATCCCAAAATATATTTCTTTGACATATTTTTATTTTTTTTTTTTTTTTGAGACGGAGTCTCGCTCTGTCGCCCAGGCTGGAGTGCAGTGGCCAGATCTCAGCTCACTGCAAGCTCCGCCTCCCGGGTTCACGCCATTCTCCTGCCTCAGCCTCCCGAGTAGCTGGGACTACAGGCGCCCGCCACCTTGCCCGGCTAGTTTTTTGTATATTTTTTAGTGGAGATGGGGTTTCACCATGTTAGCCAGGATGGTCTTGATCTCCTGACCTCGTGATCCGCCCATCTCGGCCTCCCAAAGTGCTGGGATTACAGGCCTGAGCCACCGTGCCCGGCCTATTTTTATTTCTTTATTGATGTTTATAGAGACAGTGTCTTGCTATGTTGCCCAGGCTGGTTTCAAACTCCTGGGCTCAAGCAATCCTGCCTCAGCCTCCTAAAGTGCTGGGATTACAGGTGTGAGCCACTGCACCCAGCCTCTTTGACATATTTTGAAAGGCCCTGCAAAGCTACCTCTCATAGGGAAAATCTACATTCTCTAGAGAATCCCCTTCCCTTTCTAGGTCTTTTCTGGATCCAGGAGAGATTAAGAATCTGGCACCTTTTTAGGTTTGATAAGAGAGATTTACCATCTATTCTCTCTGAAGCCTGCTACCCAACTACATAAGTGGGTACCCTGCTACCCAACTACATAAGTGTCAGGCCTCTGGGCCCAAGCCAAGCCATAGAATCCCCTGTGACTTGCACGTATAAGCCCAGATGTCCTGAAGTAACTGAAGAATTACAAAAGAAGTGCAAATGCCCTGCCCCTGCCTTAACCGATGACATTCCACCACAAAAGAAGTGAAAATGGCCGGTCCTTGCCTTAAGCGATGACATTACCTTGTGAAAGTCCTTTTCCTGGCTCATCCTGGTTCAAAAATCTCCCCCACTGAGCACCTTGTGACCCCCCACTCCTGCCTGCCAGAGAACAACCCCCCTTTGACTGGACTTTTCCTTTACCTACCCAAATCCTATAAAACGGCCCCACCCCATCTCCCTTCACTGACTGTCTTTTCACTCAGCCCGCCTGCACCCAGGTGAAATAAGCAGCCATGTTGCTCACACAAAGCCTGTTTGGTGGTCTCTTCACACGGACACGCATGACATTTTGATGCCGTGACTCGGATCAGGGGACCTCCCTTGGGAGATCAATCTCCTGTCCTCCTGCTCTTTCCTCCGTGAGAAAGATCCACCTATGACCTCGGGTCCTCAGACCCAACAGCCCAAGGAACATCTCACCCATTTTAAATCGGGTCAGCGGCCCCTTTTTTACTCTCTTCTTCAACCTCTCTCACTATCTCTTAACCTCTTTCTCCTTTCAATCTTGGCACCACCCTTCAATCTCTCCCTTCTCTGAATTTCAATTCCTTTCATTTTCTGGTAGAGACAAAGGAGACATGTTTTATCCGTGGAACCCAAAACGCCGGCGCCGGTCACGGACTGGAGAAGGCAGCCTTCCCCTGGTGTTTAATCATTGCAGGGACGCCTCTCTGATTACTCACCCATGTTTCAGGGGTGTCTGACCGTGCTGCAGGGACGCCTGCCTTGGTCCTTCACGAAAAGTGGCAAGTCCCACTTTTCTGGGGGAGGGGCAAGCACCCCAACCCCTACCCTCCCTGTCTCTACCCCTTCTCTGCTTTTCTGGGGGAGGGACAAGTACCCCGACCTCTTATTTTTGTGCCCCCTCTTATTTTTGCACCCTGACCTCTTATTTTTGTGCCCCAATCCCTTAGTTCCACACCCCGATCCCTTTCCCGATTTTCTGGAGGGCAAGAACCCCCGAACTCCTTCTCTCCATATCTCTACTCTCTGTTTTCTCTGGGCTTGCCTCCTTCACTATGGGCAACCTTCCACCCTCCATTCTTCCTTCTCCCTTAGCCTGTGTTCTCAAGAACTTAAAACCTCTTCAACTCACACCTGACCTAAAACCGAAACGCCTTATCTTCTTCTGCAACACCGCTTGGCCCCAATACAAACTTGACAATGGCTCCAAATAGCCAGAAAATGGCACTTTAGATTTTTCCATCCTACAAGATCTAAATAATTGTCGTAAAATGGGCAAACGGTCTGAGGTGCCCGACGTCCAGGCATTCTTTTACACATCGGTCCCTCCCTAGTCTCTGTTCCCAATGCAACTCGTCCCAAATCTTCCTTCTTTCCCTCCCGCCTGTCCCCTTAGCCCCAACCCCAAGTGTTGCTGAGTCTTTCTAATCTTCCTTTCTACAGACCCATCCGACTTCTCCCCTCCTCGCCAGGCCGAGCTAGGTCCCAATTTTTCCTTAGCCTTCGCTCCACTACCTTGTAATCCTTTTATCACCTCCCCTCCTCACACCTGGTCTGGCTTACAGTTTCTGGCTTACAGTTTCCTTCTACAACTAGCCCTCCCCCACCTGCCCAGAAATTTCCTCTTAAAAAAGTGGCTACAGCTAAAGGCATAGTCAAGGTTAATGCTCCTGTTTCTTTATCTGACCTCTTCCACATCAGTTAGTGTTTAGGCTCTTTTTCATCAAATATAAAAAACCCAGCCCAGTTCATGGCCCGTTTAGCAGCAACCCTGAGACACTTTTCAGCCCTAGACCCTGAAAGGTCAGAA